GGCGTTGCTTAGTATGGAAAAAAAAAAATCACGGGAGATAAACATACAGCCTCTTATTTTAAGCATAAAGGAACTGGCTTGCTGGGCTTCAATGTAAATACGAGTTTCTCCCCATCAAAAAACACTGAGCGCACATTCCAGCATCTGCCCGGAAGCTGGCTGGTTCTACTGCAGGGAAGGCTTGCGACTCCAATGGTCACTGCGCAGACTCCTCTGAGAATCGGCTTCCTGGAAGGTCACGGGGGTCCTCATCACTGCCTGGGGACTAACTGGGGCAGGTGACCCAAGGACTTGGGCTGCTGGTGGCAGACATGGCATAGGAGTCCTCCGTCCTCCCCTCTGCCATGAGGATACACAGAACTGGGAGGGGGCGCGTGGCCCGGAGGTGCAGGGCTGCACAGTGAAGCCTTGGGAAAGACAGAGAAAGGAAAGAGGGCGGGCAGGGCCTCAGAGCAGCCCTGTGCTGGCCGGTGGGCAGCTGAGTCTGCAGCGCCTAAGCACAAGGACTTAACGGGCCGAGATCAGCGCAGGTTATAGAGAAGCATCGGAAACCACTGACCCACTGTGCCGCGCATGATACAGAGAAGTTACCATGGGGATCAGAAGAAGGCGTGAGGGCTTCTGGGACGCAATTCAGGCCCAGATGGAAGACTCAACAACTCCAAGGCACAGAAGGAGGGAGACACTGACCTTCTGCGGGAGGGCCCCGCCCAGGAGGCAAACAGACTCCTCCTTCGTGAGTGTGCAGAGTCCTCAGCGTGAAGCCGAATGTGCGCAGCGGCATCACCTTAAAACAATGCAGAAGGGACACCTTGCTGTCTCCCATCTACAGAGCACCCATTTCCGACAAGGCACTGTTGTCGCTGATGTACATTAACTACCTTCTATACCATGAGAATGGACTCACAGGATCTCTGATGTGGACAGAGAGCCAAGGCACTAAGAGCTTAAATAATCTTCTATTTTCCAAAAGTTACAGAGAGTTAAGAGAAATCCGTTCAGTTTCTAATGACCAAAGGAGGAAAACGGAAATCAACTGCGTAGTACCGAGCAACACTTATGCAGCCCTTCCCATTGGACTAAGGATCTGCTTGGCCCTCGAAACCCACTCGGCCATGGCTAGTTTGGCCAATAGAAGGTCAGAATTCAGGATGTCTATTCCCCCCCCAAGTCCCACCTCTTTGGTTGGCAGTGACAACTCTGCTCCTGAGTCTTTATTGAGGGGCCTTATTCCACACCTGCAACTTTCTCTGTCACTGCTGGTCAACACCCTGTCCCCCTGCCTGTCCAGGACCCCGGTCAGTGACGGCTGCCTATTGTCAAGTGTGGCGTGCTTTGCCATCACTACTTCTTCTGACCCCATCCTTTGTAGAAAGTGCTGTAATGATTTGTATCTGGACGGCCCCCTACAGCCTCCTGTGCTTGGAGTCAGGAGCTTGGGGAATTTGACTGGGTTATGGAGGCCATATAGCTGGCTTGGTGTTGAACATTGGTTCCTGGTCCTAAGAGGGGGCTCACTGGGGGCCCATCTCCTCCCGGCTTTTCTCTTTATCTGCCTCCTGGCTGCTAGAGGAGAGTGGCTTTTCTTCTGCATCCCCTCTGTCGCGCTTTCTTCTTTACAGTCCCGACTATACACTGCAATATGAGCCAATAGAAACCTCTTCCTTTGAATTCTGGGTGATGGGATTGTGCCTAAATCAGTCCCTTGGTTCCAAATGACATCCTCTACTCACTCCATAGAGTACGGCACTTGTCCTGCCCAAGACTGTGACTTTGATAAGAACCTATTGGACACCGGATGTGATTTTTAAGCCCTACCCTAACCAGGTGAGTGAAATCATTACCTGCAGCCCATGATTCGGGTGAGCCTAAGGCCACATGGCAGACAAAGTGGCAGAACTGGGATCTGACAGCCACACTCCTGCACCCACCCTGCCCTCAGACTGTGTGACACTGACCCTAGAGTGCAGTTGTGTGAAATGTCTCACCTCACTGGGTTGTCTTGATCATACTTTAAATGAAGAACTACCGTAAGTGCCACCGAAGACCACCTGGGATCACGGCATCCCAATTCTGCTGCTCCTTAAAGGTGGCAGCACTGCCAGCGGGCAGAGAGTCGGTGGTGTCGGCTCCATCCCGAAAGCTTAGAAAGCAGGGATCAGTGTTCCAGATGGTGCTATGCTTTGGCACTGTGACTTCCAACGTCTTAAGATTCATGAGTAAGACAAACCTCGATGCCGCAGAAGCTGGATGGCACCAGCGCGATCTGCTCTCTACTGAGCGCTACAGAGCACAAGTGTGCAAGGCAGGTAGTTCTTGGAGAACAGGATGAACAAACGCTTTGGAAAACCACACACTAGCCTCATGGTGCTCCTGCTTTGGAAATTCAGAAGGTGCATTAAGCCTTCATAGCACAAAAAGAACCCCTGTAGCCTAGCTTTCTCAAATTAATTTAACATAATATGTACTTTTCCCCCATAGACACATTAATTTATTGTTCCTAAATATAAAATCAGACATGAATTTACTAGCTAAATTCCCTTAATTCATATATGAATTTCCTGTAAGGTCACTATAGGTTCCAAATGATGCTCTTTTGTGTTGATTAAAAACATCCACCAGTCAGGGAAGGAGAGATTACCTGCATGGTGCCCTGGGCCACTGTCATGCCTGAAACTGCCACCAGCCTATACTGGGAAGTACACCCTTTGGGGAGCACTGAGAGGTCACCGTCTAGCAGACAAACTCCTCCAAATATTATTAAAGAGCAAAACACATCTTTTTAGGGGAAATACGGGTGCACGTTTATTGCCAGATCCCACCCAGACCTCCTGGGTCCTTCCTTGGGCCTCACTGTGCCCTGGGCGCTAGGACAGCAAACAGGAACTTTGCTCTGTATTTCTCTGCAGACATTCAGGATTTCCTAAAACACCCTGATTTCAAGTGTTCTGATTTTTCCCGTGATTAACAAAATATGTCAGAAATGCCGATGGGCAAGTAGTTGCAAAAAAACAAAACAAAACCCAAAAAAAGGAGCAAATGGGCAAGATATTTATAAAATAGATCCAAGTCACGGAAAAGAGAAGGGGAAAAAAGAGAAAAACTACAGCTGAGGAAATCACTGCAAATACTTGGAAAAGAAAAGAAGCCCCAGATATGTCTGTAGTACAGATGCTCAGGACTTGGCATGCATGCAGGGAGGTTTTCCAAAGAAGAGAATGGTCGAGGTTGGACAAAAGTAATCCCAATCTTTGCTGCAGAGAAAAGGAGAGGACAAGCCAGCAGACACGATGTACGTCACTATGCACAGGCTTTCTGTACAGATTTTCTTGGCCTTCCATTGCAAGTAGTTTGAAACCTGTTCAAAGTCTTACATTCTGATTCTAGTGCTCAAAGGACTAGAAAACAAAAGAGGACATAGAAATCCTTACATGCATAGGAAAGGTCCAACCTCACTGAATGAAACCTTAAAAACAAGATTATTCCCATTAAACAAATCATAGTAATAGCTACAGAAAACGATATAGTTAATAAGCATTCCCTCACAGGCTACTGCTGGGGACAAGGACTGGCTCATTCCTTCTAGAAAATAATTTGGAAATATTCATCAAGAAATTTAAATGACCTCACAATGTTAAACCAGTAATTCCATTCAATGAAACAGGACCACACAGAAGGTTGAATATGATTTCTACAAATTATCATTACTACATTTTTAAGACGACAACTGGAGAAACACTTGTGTCCTCCTACTGATGGAATCACGGGTCATCTCCGGTACCTTGTTCAAGAAGAATATTATAATTCCATTATAGCCACCAAAAATTATCCTCAAGAATTGTTCACATGGGGCCGGGGTGATGACTCAGTAGAATAAGCACTTGCTTGGCAAGTGCAAGGCCCTGAGTTCAATCCCTGGTTCCAAAAAAAAAAAAAAAAAAAAAAAATTTCACAGTAGCACTGTACAGAAAATGCAGTGAGGAAGAACAGCCTACAGACCAAACACTACCACAACAAAGGACACAGGAAGAACACCAGAAATAAATAGGCTACAATGTTAACTGTGTTTGTCAAAGTCAGTATCACCCGAGATGTGGGATGTGGAGGTCCGCGCCAGCCTGCAAGCTGTTTGCGACATGGCCATGACAAGCTAGGAAGGGAAAGTTATGAAGCAGTTAGAAACCTCCAGCAACTCGACGCTGCTGTGACAGCCACTTGCCTGCACCGAGAAGACATCTAGTTGAGGAAGACAAGCCTGACTGTTGTCACACCTGATGGAGAGTTCCTGGTCACACAGCAGTCCAGCGGTCAGACACACGGGACATCCTGATCTACAGAGGAATCAAAACAACTGTCCTGGGGTGATAGGTCCATGTTCCTCTTCCATTTGCTCCAAATTTTTAAATAACACTATTACAAAAAAAACCTTAGTATTTTACTGTTTAAAATGCAAGGACAAATAAAAAGTAAATGCTCATTACTGCTATAGCTTAAAAAAAAAACTTCTATCTAAAAATGAACAAGCACACACGAAGAAGCAGGAAGGCAGAGCAGTTAGAGAAGTAGACTCTGGAACCTTCAGGTCTGGTGTGAGTACTGCTTCTACTGTGTACAAACTACGAGCTGGGGGTCACACTTTGTGCCTCAGCCTATTCTTGAATAAAAATGGAGATAAAAGTAAAACCTTTCTCATGTGGGGAGTGTTCAAACTAGGTGGTACATGTTTAAATTTAAAAGAAATATATTACATTAAAACACATTGCTAGAGCTGGCCAAATAGCTCAGTGGATTAGAGCACCTGCAAGCAGGTGCAGGGGCCAGGGGTTCGATCCCTGGGCCTACCATGCCCACCCCGCCCCCAGGGCGCACTGAGACGGCAACTGAGACTGGGCGTGGTGGCACACGCCCATAATCCCAGCTCTTGGGAGGCTGTAAACAGGCGGATCACTAGGAGTCCGATCTAGTAGTGAGACCCTGAACACCCCATAGACCCTTCCCTAAAATACAAAGAAAAAAACCACATTGCTATTCATCTTCCTCAGCATATCCCCCTTCCCCGAATGCACTTATCCCACTGTTCTTGCCACCTTTCTGGAGCAGAGCTAGAGGTCACCTTTTGTGAGTATCTTTACAAGGTGTGATGAAAAAAATATGGTGCATGTCCCTGCTGAGTGCCACCCAACAGAAAGGCAAGCCATAAAACGTCACACCGTGTCCTCATTCACGTTATTCACCAGATCTGCCGCTCATTCTCAAAGTCAAAATGATAATGGAAGCGACATTCTGAATCCATTCAGGACATCAAGGCAGCCGTGACAGCTCAATTCTAGATGCTCACCAAAGAGGACTTCCGGAACTGCTTCAGAAAGTGACAAAAGCAACAGGATAAGCATGTTCGAAGGGGGGTTAATGGTCATGTGTCTTTAACTATAGTGCATTCTCTTTTAACTCAATCATTCACTGTATGAAGCTTTTGAACACAGCCAAATCGACATAATAAGCTGTATTACTGCTCCTGCTTATGGGGAAGGCTGGGGCCACAGTCAATGTCTGGATTGCAAAATGCGTCGAGAGGAGTGGTGACAGTAACAGTAACAATAGTCAATAAGGGCCGGCGAGACAGCTCAGCGGACTAAGCACTGCTTAGGTTCAATCTCCGGCACCACATGTTGCAGCAGCCCGCCTCTGGGCACCCTGAGCCAGCCACCGAGACCCAGCATGGTGGCGCACACCTGTAATCCCAGCACTAGGGAAGCTGAAAACAGGAGGATCACCAGGAGTCCAAGCTGCATAGTGAGACCCTGTACCAAATACATAAAAAACCCCAATAATCAATAATATCTTTATTAGTATGCGTGTAACCTCCCTGTGGTGAGTTGGTACTGCCACATAACACTCTTAGTTCCTCTCTCCGTCCCCTTCTATCTATCTTTTATTCTGCTCTTCATAATTCGGGCTTTTCACGTAAGAGCAGCCGTGTGAGACTGAGGCCTGTGCGTCTGGTTTATTTCACTGAATGCTGCAGTCGCAAGGCGCACTGTTTCCCTACAAGGGACTCAAGCTCATCTTTCCTTCTGGCAGAGGAGCGCTTCACTGTGTGTAATCCTAAGTGCTTTACGTGTGCCAGGATCCGTGTCAGGAATTAACACTTTAGGTATTAGCAACACTAGAGATTGAAACTAAGTTTCCCTTTACCTCCTTCCAGCAGATGGGAAAACAGAGATTTACAGAAATGAAGGGATACAGGGGCCAGGGAGATGGCTCAGTAGAGTAACTACTTGCCTGGCAAGCACAAGGGCCTGAGTTCAATCCCCGGTACTGCAAAGGAAGGAAGGAAGGAAGGAAGGAAGGAAGGAAGGAAGGAAGGAAGGAAGGAAGGAGAAAAATAAAGGGATGTACCCAGGCTCCCCAAGCTCTTAGGTCTGTCTCCCTCCTGGGAGCTTGGCTAGACACAAGGGTGCCTGGAGGCCAGAATGCAAGCCAGGTAAAAGCATAACAGTTCCATGTCTCATTCCAGTTGTAGCCACTGGTACCAGCCTCTCCAAAAAAAGTCAAGCCAGGAAAAAAAAAAAAAAAAATTCAGCTGGGTGTGGTGGTGCACAGCTGAAATTCCGGAACTCTGGGAGGCTGAGGCAAGAGGATCTCAAGTTTGAGCCCAGCCTGGGCAAATTAGTGAGATCCTGCTTCAAAATTTAAAAGGAGAAGAGAGCTTGGATACAGCCTGGGACTCCCAAGACCCTGGGTTCAGTCACTACTATCAAATCACACACAGCAGCACTCCAGGGCCTCACCTGGCCCTCAGGACCCAGTCACTGCAGTGCAGGTGGGCCTGGCCTGCAGCGAGGTGGAGGTGGGGCTGTCACTTGTGAGGAGCAGCCTAAACTGAGAAAGGAGTTCTTGGATCTCAGCAGGAAGACACAGAGCTCTTGAGTCACGCTGCTCCTTTCCCTGGTGGAGGCCCTAGGGTAATTTATTATCTCTGTCACTTTGTTTTCTGCTTCTGGTAGGTGGGGCTCGATGAACAGACATCCCTAAAAGGAAATCATCCTGCTAAAGGGCCAGTCCCTGCTGAAGGGACAGAAGGCAGCTCAGGCCACTCACTGGCAGGCCCAGCTGCTTCCCTGCCTGGAGGAGTGGAGGGGGTAGGAGTACTGGCCCGCCTCCCTGCCTGAGTGGAATAGAGACCTGGCTCTCAGCATCCCAGCCTGCCATTCCAGGGCAGTGTGAAGTCTCTAAACATCCACCCAGAAAGCCCTTCTCCAGGAAACGGAGGCATCACGAACACACAGGACTCTGCCTCCAACTCCAGAACATCCTGTCCTTAATGAGGGCGCCCGAAGGCAGGAGTCTGAGAACTGCAGGCCTAAAGCTGTGTCACTGAGGAGAAGCATTTCCAGCAATCACTTTGTTGGCACTTTGAGCTTCCCTCAAAGACAGTCACAGAAATTTTCCACTATTGCCTTTGCAAGATGGAATTCTCCATGAGAAAGAAGAGCTTCAAAGTGAGAGTGATGGTGCACACCTGTAATCCTGGCACTTGGGAGGCTGAGACAGGAGGATTGCCTGGAGTTCAAGGCCAGCCTGAACTACATAGTGAAATCCTGTCTGGAAGGAAAGGAAGGGAGGGAGGGAAGAAGGGAGGGAGAAAGACAAACTTTACAATTCAATAACCTTTTTTCACCCATCTATAGGCCAATTTTATAATACTCAGCAAAACTCAAACCTAACAAAGTTTTCACTCAGCAATTCTACTAATTTATTATACAGACAATGCAGCCTGCTTTGCAGTAGCAAAATATTACCCCCCAAGAACTTCAATGTGCCCTGAGAGGGCTGGTTAAACACCTTTGTACGGTGAGCATACCGTCAGTGATTCAGAAAGCACTTTTCAACGAGAGGTAAATCTGCGTCCAAAAGATACGAAGACAAATAAACGAGTGGGGGGCAACCAACAGTCAGACCCGCTTAACAATACTGCTTCACTTGTAGAAAACCAGACAGGTCTGCAGGCCTCCACCCGGGCTTTTCTGACACACTGTCCTCTCTTATCTCATCTCATCTGTGGGAATGAATCACAGCTCTTTCAGTTTATGTTTCTGGCGTCTTGCAAATTTTCTTTTTACCATCAACATAAACATTTTTAGCTCATGTAATCACTGAAGTAATATAAACACGCTGTGAGCAAGAGGACAGAGCTGCCCGAGCCAGGATGCAAGCCTGGGTGTCGTGGGTGGACCAGATGCCCCCTGCCCTCTCCTGCCCTGAATGCCTGGCCAGGTGGGTGTTGGGGACACTTGCTTCTGCGGTCCAGACGGAATGCCCGCTCGCTCTCTCTTTCTCAGGTTACACAGCCAGCCTGTGTGGATCCAGAAACATCTCTGCCAGGCCCTTTGCTTTTTTCTTTTTTTAATACAGATTGAACATGGGATCTTTGCACCAATTTACATCCCCCCCGCCCTTTCTTCATTTTTATTTTGAGACAAAGTCTCACCAAGCTGACAAATTGCCCAAACAGGGCTGAAACTTGAGATCTACCTGCCTCAGCCTTCAGAGTGCTGGAATTAGAGGCCTGCACCATCATACCAGGCTGAAGACCGCCTCCTCTCCAAACCCATTTGTTAAACAAAGAACAAACTAGAAAAACTGTAAGCACCCTTTAAAGACTAGAGAAACTGTAAATTATTAACCATTATTGGGTAATAATTATTTATAGCTATTTTACTTTTATAATTATTGATTTAATCATTCTTAAATTATTGATACTGTTGATTTGTCATCATTTATTGGATGCATTGATAGGTTTTTCAAGTGCTGCTGCAGAAACACAAACAGAAGGAAAAAGGGAAAGGGTCTTTATTATCTTTGAGGACAGAGAGGATCTGGGGAAAATCAGGGGTTCTCTGAGTTGGAACAAAGGGAGCCTGAAGATATGTCCATTTGCCAGGGGTAGAGTTTGAGGGGGTTTGTTTAGATACACATGAGGAGCTGATTGGGATCTTCCCTGAGGCAGTGGGAAAGGTGAAAGGAAACTGCACCCTGGGCTGAGTTGGAGAAGGAGGAGGAAGAGGTCTCAGGGAAGATAAGCTGTTGTTTTAAGGGCTTCAGCCATATTAGATGACCACCATAATGATTCAACAATTCATACTAAGGCCAGAACCTATCATGCATGAGCACATGCTATCCAGGAAAGCCAGCAGAGTCAGGGTGGGCAATGAACTGGGCTTGTGCTTCAGGGGAGAGATTGAAATCGTTGTTCTTTCCCTTGGTAACCAAGGGGCCTTGCACAAGTCATTTCACCTGGCAGAACCTCAGTTTCTTTATCTGTGAAATGGGGATGACAGAGCTTCCTGAGGTGCCTATAGGTAGCATCTAAAGGTAGCACCACATGAGAGCTACCCTAGGTGCTTAACCTGTGTGGGGTACCCGCACAAACAAAAGGAAAGGTTGCCTGGGATGGAATGGATGGCCAGGCGGACCCCATCTTTCCATCTGCTCAGTTTAAGAGTGAACTGTAAACCTTACTTTCACACATGTTCCAGTGGTCTGGGGGGAAAGCGGGGCTGTGATGGTTGGGTTCGTGCCTGCAGAGTATTGACTTAGGTCCTTGAATACCATCTCCAAATGCCAGGCTTCATTTGCATCAGGTCAGAAGCCAGGCTGCTAGGCGCTGCTGTTGATTTTGGGCAGCGGACTTGGGAACCAGTGGCCCACCTTTCTCCTGGCTCTTGGCCAGTCACAAGCCGACCCCACCTGGGACTCAGGAGAACTGGCCACAGAGGAGGCAGAGCCTTTGATGGATTTTCACGTTTAATTAAAAAGCAGCTGGGGCTCCCTTCCTGCCATGTGTGCGTGAGACGAGTGGTGCCACCAGCACACGCCCGGCCGTGGGGCCAAGGTGGCGCAGGGACCCTGGCTGGCTTCACCCTCCCCTGCCCACAAAGCCCTGGCTGGTGCTCCCTGTGCGAGGCTCCAGGGCTCCAGGTACCGCAATCCACAAGCGGGGAGCGGCGGCCACAGCCTCCCTGGAGAACTGCAGCACCGCCGCGGAGGGACACAGGAGCTCACCCTCCTGGGTCACTCCAGTTGTTTCTGCAGTCCGAATGGAAAATCTCAAATACACTTCCGAGGAAGGAGGGTAATACACAGCACAGGCGCGCCGCTGCAGGTTTCCTGCAGGCTGCAGCCCCTAGGAAGCAATTCCTAGGCATTCTTTCATGTCATCCATAAACATTTCAGGAGGCAGCTCCGGAAGCATTTCAAGAAG